GGTTTGTTCTGCGCGGTCATCGACTGAAATATATATCTATGTAAGTTGAGACGAGCGGTATGGAATGGTATACCTGATAATACGACAAGGTAAATTTACAGGTTTGCCTTTTCCATAACGAACACAAAACACAGGTAGAATGATAAATTCGATTTCCCGGAATATTTCGTAAACCGCCAATGAAGTAACCCTCATGAAAGAGATCGGAGGAGTTGATGAGATTGGACATGGATTCAACGTTTTTCACCTTGATCATCCATTCTCCTTGTGTCCACCCTAGATCTAGCGCTACAACTGATGTCACGACCACGCCAGTTGCGACAAGTGCTTCGACAACTGTGTCCAAGCTAGCAGATGATGGTTCTACAGTAACCCTGATATTGTACCAGCAATCCTTCTCCTGTAATTTACTACATGCGGACAGTGCTTTCATGTATTGATTCGCCCATAAACGTGAGATTGGTCGTAACTGAAGGGGATATTGCCCCGCAAACGATGGCGACGTATCCGGCGGACAATTCGTGGGTTCTATGTAGAAGTGTCGCAATCAGAAAACCGAAAGGTTAGTGAGAAGTCTATCAGATTGAAGGCCAATCTAGGTGTCTGTGTGGCTGTAGAAGTCCAGGAGTTTCAAGATTGCCTGCAGACATGAAGAAGAATGCGGACACTTCGAAAAGCTGGTTGGGAATCTACTGACCTGATTTTGACGTCTTATTAGATTTACTTGAGGCTGGTTATTCCATTGATAAACAGAAAGTGCAAAAACGCATCCGAGATATCAATTGATGGGCACAAGCGCAGCTTGTTTGGTATATTCTTTTGTGAAATGTTGGTGCAGGGGCTACTACTTACATGCTGTATTGGCCCTCGCTGTGAAGATTGAGCTAGACGGGTCTGATCAATGCACCGTGCCAATTGAAATAGTGAGAAACAGGTTCAGCGAGCAGTGACGAACGAGATGACTGAGAGGTGAAGAGTCTACCGAGGTGTTCGTTGTTGAACTTTGATTTCTTCTTGGGCTTTTGATGATGATGTTGTGATTTCGAATGATCTTCATGTTTCAACTTTTTTCTCCTAGTTCGCTAAAGGCTCGCAATTGTGAAAAATTCATTATTGAGTCAATTCCATTACTGAATCTTTCGAAAGACCAAAGATGTTATGTTAGGCCTAACGAAAGGGAATATTTATGTGAGCTTGAACGCTGACTTTGCTGCGAGTTGAACCTATCATATTGAGAAAGTTGACCAAGACTCTTCGCCGAACCTTTGCGGATGAAATCTATGTTTGTTTTTTTCGGGCCTGACGATGGAAACCCGAGGTAGTGCAGAGATGTTCTTGAGGGTATGAGCGAGCGCAGAGCGCACAAAAAGGAAGTCGGGTGGTGTTCTGTTGAGAATGAGGATGGATGAATTGGAAATTCCAAATCCAAGCTTTTTTTTCGATTTTTGGTATCGCAGCAGCCTTTCCGCAGCACTTTTTTTTGGTGTGCACTCTGTAAAGCCATGTCAAGACAAGATATGATGTCACATTTCATCTCACGACCCACGAACACAACCATAACAAGGATCGCAATTCAACGCATATGGTATTCAATATTTAAATTCTCTTTTTAGTCGGTACACAATAAGTAGGGACACTTGATTCATTGCGAGCTCAGCTAACCTCTTCGAAAACGTATCCCTGTTATCAATTCTTTTACCAACTAGTATCGCGATTGATCAAGTCATCTCAAAAGATAAGTTGTTTCTATTCATGAATCTATTCGATTTCTTCTATCTTCACGATTCTAGGGTCAGAGACTATTGGTCTAATCCGTGACTTAGGAGTGTTCGAAAGATCTTCCATGGCTTTCCATATGAATCTAGTATCTTCCTCCTCTTCTGTGGTGTACTTCCTCAAATATAATTGGTAAGCTTTAGACGCCCATCTCCCCACTTGCACAATTTCATCTAAGGGTCTTTTATCGTTCCACCGCAAAGATGCTCCACCGACACGGAATGAGTGTCCAGTTAATTGATTATCGGGGTCATTGTCTTTCCACACTTGCTTATAGATCGACATTACTTCGGTCTTTGATAACGTCTTCCTGATTCCGTTATCATTCAAATACGAGAATAGAGGACAATGATGATCGGCGTTATTATTTTCCGCCATTATGCAAAGCAGCCTAACTGGATCTAGTAATGACTTTCTACGTTGTAGACGAAGCCATTGAAGCTCACCAGGCTTCGCAGTTTTTGCGTTGTATAAGGCGATTGTCATGTGAGTGTCGTCTTCTGCAAGTATGGCGTCATTAACTAAAATCTGTCTCTTGTTCTTGTTGTCTGACACCAGTTCGCCAAGTCTAGCCATACCCCAGAAGGCTACAAGTGCCACAGCTAGGGCTGCTTGATTACGCCGATCACCATCCGTAAGTGCTTTCACCAATTCAGCTAAATGTCGTAAGAGAATTGGCTTTTTGACATTCTTGATCTTCTCCTTCCTTGATGCGTCACCAGCGCTCGCTGCTTTCAATAATAGTTTGACAGTCTTATCATTTTCGATGGAAAATGTGATGTTGTGGAATAGGTGCCAAGAGCGAATTCCAGTTATATACTTAGTCAATGTCTCGGCTGTTATCCTGTGCGTTTTCATTACATCTGCATAAGTCTCAATATTATCTGATGATACATGATTAAATCTTCCGGCCCAGACAATAAATTCGTAGAGTAGGTCTTGGTTAAGGGGGAGGACATCGGAACGAGATTTCCCATTTGCAGTTGCGAACTTCATCAATTTCAATACGGCTGAACTGTAGTTCTCAAGCGTGGTTTGTCTCCAGCTTCCACTCAGCAAAGCCCTTTGGACAGGATTGTTCCTCCATGTGACAACTCTGGTCAGACAAAAAACAGACGAGTGTTAGTTCGCGTTCTAGATAGAAGGTTCGTTAAGTGAGTAGAAGTTTCTCTTTTTTTTTTTTTTTTACTCACGAGTTACTGTTCATGAGGAATTGAATGATTTTCTTTTCATTGTCCATTGCTCTTTTGTATCCTCCTCTTTAGTAGATGAGTGAGGTCGGCAGGTAGATTTATCAGGACTTCGAGTTCAAGGTCCCAACCTTCGGTATCACCTCTAGATAAACCGTCAGCGGGGTTGTTGCCTGACTCGACTTGGTTTCCGACGATATCGCACTGGAATGCAGTGAGTCCTTTTTGAATATGTTTCCACTCTTTATTGACTGTCTTGTCTCTCGATTTCCGGTTTCGAATCGCAGCTTCTGTTGTAGTGTTATCGGTGTATAGGAGGAAACGCTTTCCAACAGTTGGGAATAGGTTGGCCACCATTCGTAACCCCAACCTAACTGCCACTGTCTCTAGCCAAGCGATCTTGCGCTTTGGACCGTCGGGTGGTAAACCGCGGGACTCCCAGCCTTCGAGTAATTCGAACTGAGCCCACCTGGGACCGACTAGGATTCCTATTCTGAAGCTAGTACTAGCATCCCCAGCCCAGTTTAATTCTATCGGCTCAACATCCGGTACAAATCGGAGAGGCTGGAATTCCGATAAGGTTTGGAGCCATTCCTCCAAATCTTCTAGTGCGTCATTAGGCACCTTCCTCAATGCCCTCTCGTTATGCCATGTATTAATCCACCAGTACAGGTCCCACATGCAGCACTTCATGTTGGGACCTATATAGGTTATATGATTGAGTTGGCCGACTACCTTCTCGATATCTTTCTTCTTCCATTTCTTGTCAATCGTAAGTAAATCCTTTACTTGATTTAGTCTTTCGAGGAGTTTTTCTTCAGGTAACCGAACGGTCTTTTCCTTACCGTTCCAAATAAATCCGAGGTATTTCTGTTCCTCATTCCAGTCATTAAATTTTTCTGTGTTTGATTGGACTCCTAAATTTTTACTGATTTGAATGACTGTTTGCATGTCTAGTGTATCGCCTACTTCCTTGATGAATAAGCTATCATCTACCCAGCGAAATATACATTTGATACCTAATAACTTCATGATTATATCTCGCCATGCGTCCGCCATCCAACCAAATGTCCCACAACCTGCAACTCCACCGAAAGCTATCCGGGTATCTAGCCAAATTCTATTTTCAAAATCTTTTATGGTTAAATACTTCCATTGCGATCGATGCGTTGGTCCCTGACGATACGCCTTTTTCCAATCATAGATCGCCAGCAGCAGTGATTTCCCCGTGTTCGCTTTGAAGTACGCGGCCACCTTCCAGAAATCATCCCATGACGTCTCAAAGTCGTGTTTATCAACGAAGGAGTTAACTGATGATATCATGTCTGGTTCATCGACATATTCCAAGTTACGTAGGATATCTTCCGATTCATCAGAGTAATCCACTTCTTCTTCTTTTGTCCACGATTCTACTCTGGCCTCTACTGACTCATCTTCATTCATACACATCATGGGTTTCTTGGGATAAGATAAGTCATTTATCATCCGTAGAGATCCATCATTATTAGTAACACTACCCATCGGATTCGACCGGAAGAAACCCCACTTCCCATATACCTCCTCATGAGAAAAAGGGCCAAACATCCGTCCTAGAGATTTCTCTTTATGTAGGTTGTTCATAATTTCCTTCTTAACTGCCAGTGCTGATGAGTGATTATCTGGTGTGAACCACTTCAGGTCACCAATCAAGTGGTCGGGTATTCCTTGGTCGAAACCCTCGACCAGACTCTTCAGTACGTGTGACCATTTCTCAGTAAGTCCACACTCATCTAGCAATATTTTCCATTCTTCAATATTCATCTCACAATTTACCGATTCAGGCCATCTCTCAGCCGATGAAGGTACTGGGCTTGGAGTAATGAATTTATCGGTATTCGTAGGACTTGAGGGGACACTTTTCAATGAGGCGCAAGGGAGAGGGCAAAAACAATTGTGGGTCAATTTACTCATCTTGCATTACTACGGAGTTCAACAAGTACTCATTGGGGCTAATTTCTAATCAGAGCAGTAAGGAAAAACAAGAGAAAGACAAATTGTGATAATCAAAAATGAAGACAGGTTGCTATATCCATCATAGAATGTGATATGTTACATCATCTGTATGATTTCCCACTTCTCTCTCGTCTTCTTTTTTTTTTTTTTTTTTTAACTTACTTGCTACCGCTTGCTGTAGGGCCTTTCCCTTTGCCTGCTTCTTTGCTCACAGTCGGTTGACTGTTCTCAATCATTAATTGTTTCGGGGCTGGTGCGAAACTCCCGTAGCCAATAGCTGGTCGTGTGACCAAAGAGGGATCAACTACCGAGTACGTCGGGAAATTGGCAATATTTCGATTCTGGTTCTGCGCTTGATGGTTCTGATTAAAGGTCGTTCCGAGGTAAAAGGGGTTTGGATTGTTGCCTTGTGGGTAATTCACATTGTTTGTGTTATTTTGATAAGGTTGATTAAAAGGAGTGTAGGGGTTAAAAGGTCTGTTCTGATTATCTTGACGTCTATACCCATTGAAATGACCCCTATTGTTTGACTGGTGATTTTGGTAACTTCCTCTATACGGGTTTCCTCCACTACCTCTACCTCTACCTCCTCGTTGGCTCCTTGAAGGACCGACTTGTGACGCTACATTTGCGAATGATGAGTTGGAGGACAAAGATGGGGTGGCTGATAACAGGTGAGTTGAAGTGTTTTCCAATTGAACTTCATTTGGGATGTTGAGACCGTCCCATGATAGGTGTTCGGGATGGATTTGACCGTCAATTGGACTCATGTTTTGTAAGTGATTCCCTATTGCATAAGGATTGTCGTCGTATCGATCATCTTTTGCGAATTCTGCGTCAATCTTGGCTTGTCTCGCAAGGGACTCATTCTTTGACCCGACGTCTGACATCCTGCCATCTGACAAACGATGTTCCCAGACGTTTTGACGCTGTGCAATATCGTACCTCATCGCGATTGGCCAACCGCCTTTATTCTCGATTTGCATTTGCAAGACAATTGCTTTATGAGCTTTTAGCCAAGGAGCAATTGGGTGATTGAGTTGATTAGGCAGTTTGTCGTATACCTCTTCATGGTACTTCACCATCATATCGAATCGGCGGGACCACTCAGCACATTTCAAACGCCATTCGCTAGGAATCGTCAAACCAATGTACGGAATCGTGTCCGATAAGCAACTAGAAACTTTAGCTTTCTTGGTTGACATGTGGGCTTTATCGGCTAACAACCACTTCATGTTAAAGATCGAAACCGGTATATGTCGATTCTTATTTATCATGATCTTATCGAAGTATTCAGACAACTTTGGCAAGGTATGGTTGACTTCAGCGCCTATTACCACTTCCGTGTTAGACTCTTCTTTCTTCTTTTTAGATTTCTCAACTGTGGATTCTTCTGATATCGGGGTTACTTGGTCTTCATCTATTTCAAGTTTCTATCAGATCAAGTTAAAAATATTGCTAGGGTTGACCTTTACGTACCTTATGTCATATAATCTCGGGTCGCGTTCGAGGACGTTTCGCGTTTTACACCACATCGCATAGGCTTTACTGAGACTCTCGACTCTAGCAAATTTATTCGTGCGGTATGCTTCTTGGATTGATCGAATCCATTTCGTATGCGCTAGAACAATCTCTGGATCAACCGAAGTTGTTATGTTCGTCTCCGCTTCTAATAAATCAACGATGTATACATACGAGAGGCAAGTCAATATAAGATTACTATCTTTTTTTTTTTTTTTTTCTCTGATCAATTAGGTCTGAATAAGAGAAGTGTTCTTTTAGGAATTCGATTGGGTCTTAAATCCAACTAGGAAGTAACTTCCCAATAACTAAAACAACATGAATCACTTCGGACTTTAACCGGGATGGATCCTTATTGATTAAGACTACTAGGGAGTCGCTTCGGAATTTAACCGGGAGGGATACCTCGGAATTTAACCGGGAGGGATACTTCGGAATTCAACCGGGAAGGATCATCGGAATTCAACCGGGAGAGAACTTAATTATAGTACGTTTTGCTTCTCTCTTTTTTTTTTTTTTAAAGGTGGGGAGGGGATGAAGGCCATCAAAGAGGTATAATTACTAACCTAAAGCTACCAAAGTATCTCCGTTTTGGCTCGTAGACATCTGATGTTCGACATCTTGGTCGGCATTGCTTTCATGGTGGAATCCTGCGATACTAGTTTGTTGGGTATCATCATCACCAGGATTACCATGTCCACCACTCCCGCCAGGTTCGTTTAGTTGTCCTGGATTGGTAAGGATAGTGTTCGTACCAGCCATAGGTGTGGTTGAGGTCTCAGAGTTCGCAGGTGGTATACCTTCTTGGCCAAGAATTGACGAGGTTGCCGTCTGGCTCCTGGTGACAACTTGTTTTTCCTTCGACTTTCCTTGCTGTTGCTTTCTATCGATTGTCGCGTTAGCTGCTTTTGCGTTGAACTCTTCAGTCGTCATTTTGATTTGATTAGATTGAAGAAATATGTTGTGGTATATTGGAGGAGTGGATCTTATAAGTTAGAATTGATAGTTCAATTAGAAGGTTTTTTTTTTTTTTTTTGGAATTATTTTGTTGCTTAATAGTGTTGGTGGTAGAATTGTTTGAGTATTTTGATTTAAGCTAAGGAATAGTCTTTGAAAGAACAAAAGAAAATTAGTGTTGAATAAGGAAAGATGGTGATGTTTCCTTATTTTCTTGCTAGGAAAGGTTTGGGGATTAGATGTGGTGCGATGGAAAACTTTTTCGTTTTCCTTCAACACATCTATTGGGGCAAGTACGTCAATACTTCTTGCCCCGAGCTCATACTCGAGAGACCGATCTTCGGGTCGTTATCCCCAAGCCTTTATGGAACTTCACAGGTATCGTCGTCCCTTTGGACACCTGTAGCATTGAAAGATCATTTGAAATCTTGCTCTTATCTTCCTTTGCTTGAGTTTACAATGTCTCTGGTACGCCAAACTCCTGCTCAACTCTTTGCATGGCTGGATTTGAACGTCGATTCATTCAAGTTTGAAAAAAATTAGACTGACTAGATACAATATAACTCAACATGTAACCAGAAAATTCACAGAAAATGACCAGTCTTTGAGCGCTTAGAAGTAAATGTCTTTTCAAGATGTAACAATAAATCCAATGTTTGTCTTTTTATCACTTGTTGAAGAAACCGTAGGCAAGGGTGGATGTAGAGAAACAGAGGAAGGACGATCTTGCAGTGGCTTTAAACGTGATTTTGCCTTCTCAGCAGCCACTTCTTCTCGTCTCTCTATCAACATCCTGCGGTGGATGCGGGTAATACATTCGACTTCGGTGATCCCATCTTCTGCAAGGTGAAAAAAGCTGCCACAACATGAACACTCGTCAATATGCCGCATCGTCACTGGCCAAATTTCCGGTCGAGGTACGCCATCATTATCCCAACCCTGTAAGACTAATTTCATCGGATTTTCGAAATCCCACTCGTGGACACAACTCGGGTCGATGGCGACATGACATCTCAAGTCGTTAGTCCGAACCCCACGGATCATATATCTCTCTTTCACCAATACTTGTCGGATTCTAAGGTTCTTGTTCCGAGCCGTGATGGCCTCGTAAAGGTACTGATCAAGATTGAGGTCCGAGTCGTAAAATGGAATTCCCATCAAGACAATAGGTACCAGTACGGAGTCGGCCTCGTTATCTGTCTCCGTAGAGTATATAACGGGAATTACGATAAATTCTATTTTAGGGATTCGGCCGGCACCTAGAAAGTATCCCTTAGAATACCGGAGATCTGAACCCGCAAGTCCACAAATGGATGCACGGCGTGGAATATAAAACATCCAGTCTCCCTTAGCCCATCCCGTAGCCAGTGTGATTACGTTTTTTACATCGATTTTAGCGCGGCGAAAAGTTCTCAAAATGAGTTCCAGTGCATTGGAAGCTGGTTTTCCCACGAATCTGATGTTGTACCAGCAGGGGACATCTGGCTGCCCACTGCATGGACCGAATGATTTCATGTATCGAAGGATCCATAAGTGAGAGATGGGTCGTAATGTGAA